CAATTTACAGTATACTGCTGCTGTTCTCCAGTGTTTTTAATAGGGTTTTGCATCACATCTCATGGGTTTTCATTACAGTACCTTCGTCACTGTTGTCTCAAATGGGGGAGAGAGATTCTAGAATTATCTAGACCAGGGGTGTCAAACGTACGGCCCGCGGGCTGGATCAGGCCCGCAAACGGGTTTAATCCGGCCCGCGAGATGATAAAAAAAAAAAAAACAAAAAAAAAAACAATTGTAAAGTATAAAAATGCGCTGCAATTTTTCTATAAAATAAACTGCTGTTCCAATTGCGTCCACTGGATGGCACAATAGCAATTGTGTTAAGCAAGCAAACTGTTTATACCGGGGCAGAGCAAGTAGGTCAAGCACGTGCAGCCAATGAGCTACTTTGTTTTGCCCGCGATATTTATTACGGCTTCTACTTTTAACATTATGTGCTTTGGCACCCTCATTGCCCCAATATGTCTCTGTCAAAAAAGAGAAAAGTGGACGCAGAGTGCAGAGTGTTCCAAGAAAAATTGTCATCCTATTTAATCACGGAATTGAATGGGAAAGCTGTATGTTTGGTGTGTTCAGAGCATGTTGCAGTGCTGAAAGAATATAACCTTCGTCGCCACTATGTGAGTCTTCATGCCGACAAATATGACAACTTTCAAGGACAGCGGAGATGAGAGAAGGTGAATGAACTGTTGGCGGGTCTGAAGAAACAGCAGTCTGTGTTTACTCACAGCCGAGACATCAGTGACGCTGCAGTGAAAGCTAGCTACCTCATTGCTAATGAAATCGCAGTGGCTTCAAAACCATTTAGTGAGGGTGAATTTGTAAAAACATGCATGATGAAGGCAGCGGAGATTGTGTGCCCTGAAAAGCGGCAGGATTTTGCAAATATCAGCCTGACAAGAAACACAGTTGCAGACAGGATTTCCGATCTTTCAGTGGATTTGGACAGCCAGTTGAAGCAAAAAGTAAAGTCATTTATTGCGTTTTCGGTTGCAATTGATGAAAGCACGGACATTACAGATGTTGCACAACTGGCCATTTTTTCATCCGCGGAGTTGATGACACATTGACCGTCACCGAGGAGTTCGTGGAGTTGGTGCCGATGACAGATACAACGACAGCAGCTGATATTTTTACCGCACTCGTTGGCGCGCTGGACAGGGTCGGAGTGGACTGGTCCCGCGCTGTCAGCCTGGCTACAGATGGTGCGCCCTCAATGATCGGGAAAAAAGCAGGCGTTGTGACAAAGTTCAGAGAGAAAGTGCAATCTGCAAATGGAGGACGTGATTTTTTGACTTTTCACTGTATTTTGCACCAGGAGGCTTTGTGTTGCAAGTCATTAAAGATAGATAACGTCATGAAGGTGGTCATCCAAACTGTTAATTTCATCCGATCCAGAAGCCTGAATCACCGTCAGTTTGACAGCCTTCTCAGAGAGAAAGACCAAATCTATGGCCTGCCATACCACACTGAGGTAAGATGGTTAAGCCGAGGTGCTGTGCTGAGGTGTTTCTTTGATTTACGAGAAGAAATTGAACAGTTCATGGAAGAAAAGGGCAAACCAGTGTTAGAATTTCATTCCGCAGAATGGATGCCGGACCTTGCATTTATGGTGGATGTTACAGAGCACCTGAATAACTTGAACAAACAGCTGCAAGGGCGCAACAAAGTTGTCACGCAGTATTATGACAGCATACGTTCTTTCAAGTTGAAGCTGTCATTTTGGGAGACGCAACTTGCCGGTGGTGATGCAGCTCACTTCCCCTGTCTGAAAAATGTGTGCGCGACCCAACATGTGGCAGACATGAAGCGGTTCAAAGATAAAATAACGGGACTGTTACGGGAGTTTGAGCAACGCTTTCAGATTTATGTTTATATGTTTTTATGTTGATGTGCTATTGTTTTTAATTGATTTTATTTTATTTGTATATTTAACCTATTCTTGACTCTGTGGTTCTTGCACTTGTTTGGGGAACAGGATTTCATTATTTTTATCTACATTTCTGCCTGAGAAATGACACCCTGATATAGTTCTGTGATCTGTGAAACAGTTCTGTTAATCACTGAGGCATTGTGTGTTTGTGTGTTCTTTGTCCTCAGAACTTTCAAATAACTTGAGGTGTTTTATGATTAATAGTGATGTTGTGCTTTTGGACACTGTCCTCAGGCTCCAGCTTTATGTTTATATGTTTTTATGTTGATGTGCTATTGTTTTTAATTGATTTTATTTTATTTGTATATTTAACCTATTATTGACTCTGTGGTTCTTGCACTTGTTTGGGGAACAGGATTTCATTATTTTTATCTACATTTCTGCCTGAGAAATGACACCCTGATATAGTTCTGTGATCTGTGAAACAGTTCTGTTAATCACTGAGGCATTGTGTGTTTGTGTGTTCTTTTTCTTTAGAATTTTCAAATAATCTTGACGTGTTTTATGATTACTAGTGATGTTGTGCTTGTACTATTTTGGACACACTGTCCTCAGGCTCCAGCTTTATGTTGTATGTTGATCGTATTAAAACAAAGAAAACAATCTGAAGTTGTTGTTTTTAAGTTATATATACCATGATTTTTCCGGTCCGGCCCACTTGGGAATAGATTTTCCTCCATGTGGCCCCTGAGCTAAAATGAGTTTGACACCCCTGATCTAGACTTTTATTGCTAGACTATTTATATCACCAGTCAGAATTTATCAACTGTTTAATAGGAAACATTTTATCAGGGCAACCATCTCATCTTATCCTTGTAAAAAAGGAGAGGCATTGCTGTGACAATGTTGTTTCAGAGAATGTTCTATGTTTTTTAATCAGCAGTTGGGATTCTCTCAGAGTTATCATCACTCACTGAGTCCAATAGGATTTACATATAATTTCTGTGATTAAGGGTCAATTTCAATAGAGCGGTGTGTGTACTTTCAAGTACGATGTAACATTTACAATTTTATTAGGCCAAAAATGTGTATTAAAAAAATGTCTGATAATCACATGTACACATAAAATCAAATCAACAACAAAGAAAGTCAGTGCACCTGTACTGACCTCGCCTTCTGGATGACAGCGGGGTGAACAGGCCGTGGCTCGGGTGGTTGATGATCCTTTTGGCCTTCCTGTGACATCGGGTGCTGTAGGTGTCCTGGAGGGCAGGCAGTGTGCCCCCTGTGATGCGTTGGGCAGACCGCACCACCCTCTGGAGATCCCTGCGGTTGCGGGCGGTGATACAGCCCGACAGGATGCTCTCAATTTTGCATCTGTAAAAGCTTGTGAGGGTCTTAGGGACCAGGCCACATTTCTTCAGGCTCTTGAGGTTGTAGAGGTGCTGTTGCGCCTTCTTCACTACACTATCTGTGTGGGTGGACCCTCTCAGATTGTCAGTGATGTGTATGCCGAGGAACTTTAATCTTTTCACCTGTGGATAGGGGCGTGCTCCCTCTGCTGTCTCCTGAAGTCCACAATCAGCTCCTTCGTTTTGTTGACGTTGAGGGAGAGGTTATTTTCCTGGCACCACTCCGCCAGGGCCCTCACCTCCTCCCTGTAGGCTGTCTCGTCATTGTTGGTAATCAGGCCTACTACTGTTGTGTCATCTGCAAACTTGTGATTGAGTTGGAGGCATGCGTGGCCATGCAGTCATGGGTGAACAGGGAGTACAGGAGGGGGCTGAGCACGCACCCTTGTGGGACCCCTGTGTTGAGGATCAACGTAGTGGAGATGTTCTTTCCTACCTTCACCACCTGGGGACGGCCCGTCAGGAAGTCCAGGATCCAGTTCCACAGGGAGGGGTTCAAACCCAGGGCACCAAGCTTAATGATGAGCTTGGAGGGTACTATGGTGTTGAAGGCTGAGCTAAAGTCAATGAACAGCATTCTTACATAGGTATTCCTCTTGTCCAGATGGGATAGGGCAGTGTGCAGTGTGATGGCGATTGCATCGTCTGTGGATCTATTGGGGCGGTATGCAAATGTAAGTGGGTCTAGGGTGTCAGGTAAGGTGGAGGTGATGTGATCCTTAACTAGTCTCTTAAAGCACTTCATGATGACAGAAGTGAGTACTACGGGGCGATAGTTCAGTTACCTTTGCTTTGGGTGAGTATACAAAACATTAAGAACACCTGCTCTTTCCATGACATAGACTGACCAATTGAATCCAGGTGAAAGCTATGATCCCTTATTGATGTCACTTCAATCAGTGTAGCTGAAGGAGGGAGACAGGTTAAAGAAGACAAAATATTTAAGTGCCTTTGAACGGGGTATGGTAGTCGGTGCCAGGCGCACTGGTTTGTGTCAAGAACTGCAACGCTGCTAGGTTTTTCATGCTCAACAGATTCCCGTGTGTATCAAGAATGGTCCACCACCCAAAGGACATCCAGCCAACTTGACACAACTGTGGGAAGCATTGGAATTAACATGAGCCAGCATCACTGTGGAACGCTTCCGACACCTTGTAGAGTCCATGCCCCGACGAATTGAGGCTGTTCTGAGGGCAAAAGGGGGTGCAACTCAATATTAGGAAGGCATTCCTAATGTTGGTATACTCCATGTATATTACATTAGTGTTCCTGGAGGCACACATCTCTCTCACAGACCTTCTCAAATGGTCTCAACTTCTAAATAATATTTTTTATCATATTCATAGTCCAGAGACACCACCCCCATATACAAAGGGTCTAGACTCTAGAGAGGTGGCATCTTGTCTTAAGGTTACAGCGAATCATTAATGTTCATGCAGATTTAACCCTTGCAAAGGCTTCTGGGTGTTATCTACTGTATCCCGTGAGTGAAAAAAACATTTAAAAAAGTAGCCCACCTCCCCTATACCAATTTCTCTGCAACTTTCCCCTACCTCTTTTGGGATAAGTGGTCTAGTCACTTGCTGGTGAACTGAGAGATATGTGATTTTGTTTGTCTTGAGTGTTATTTTGAATCAGAAGTGTTGATGCATTGAAAATATGTCTATAACAGAGTAATAATAGAAGAATAACATATTTTGCATCTCTTGCAGGTGCCAGTAATGGTCAGACCATTGAGCCAATCAGAGAGGTGGTGTATGCTCCAGCAGGTAGCAATATTATACTTTCATGCACCTACTCATCTGCAGTCTCTCTTCAATGGTATCTCCAGGACCCTGGATCAGCTCCTCAGTATATCCTGCTTATCCTGCATGGTGTTGGGTCTCCATCACGGGCTCCAGGTCTGGATCCTAGACTGTCAGTCAAACTAAATGATGAGAAGACCCGTGTGGATCTGGAGATCTCCTCTGCTAAAGAGAAAGACTCTGCTATGTACTACTGTGCACTGACGCCCACAGTGAAAGGAAACCTACATACGCTGTACAAAAACCTAACCTGACACATTCTATAGTTACATGACATGACCGAAAGGAGATGGTGCATCTCAAGGTTTTTGACAGGAAACCTGGTGGGTGTGTTTAAAAACGTATGTAAAGAGGAGGAGCAACATTTTATATGCCTAAGGTACTTATCATTTCAAAGTCATAGCAGTGTTTTGGCTTTGCTGTTTTCTAAAAACACATTCATGTCTGATCTCTAACATAGACAATGATGCTACTCTGTTATATTCTACTGATCCCAGCCCTTGTAGGTGATACTTGAGAGGATAATATTACTCTAACCAGCCCTGAGGAGTATTATTTAGAGGGTAGCAGATTTAAGCTCTCCTGTAACTATACAGTAATAGCAGATAGTCTGCTTTGATACAGACAGTACTCTGGATCAAGTCTCCAATTCCTCTTCTACACTACAGTTACCTCAAAGCCCTCTGTAATAAGAGCTAAACCTGAAGACCCTCGACTGTCTGTTAATCTGAATGAAAAGATAACCCGTGTGGATCTGGAGATCTCTGTCGAAGTGACAGACTCTGCTCTGTACTGCTGTGCTGTGAAGCCCACAGTGACAGGAAACATAACTTCATCATACAAAAAGCAGACAGCCTGATACACAGATGTGGGATGTAGACTTTCCGTTCAGAATGAAATTCATCCTTAAACACAAATAAAATATAATACAATTCATACGATACGGTTTATTTGGATATGGTGATATGGTGTAGTATGGTATTGAAAAAACAAAAAACAAACAAACAAACAATAGCATTCCCTAGACATTTCCAGATAGAAATGAAGTCTAAAATAAACTGAGGAGGAGGCCAATAGGAACTGAAAACCCTTAACCATAAACCACAGAAGAAGAATTACATATCCAGTTATCAGAGGAGGGGCGTCATAGTCAAACACTGGTATAGGATGGGCAGTGGCGATTTTAGCATGTAAATCTTGGTTGGGCAAACAAAACAAAAAAACAAGAGATACATTCCAGCAAAGCCACCTGACACAACACAACACTAAACAATACATTAATTGCACTATAACGTTGACAAACGGTGCCCACAAACTGTTAGGCCTACATAAGCTGTCCCAACAGCAGAGTCCCAACAGCAGTCCCAACCCCTTACCACTGATACACCTGGCTATCAGTGGGCCTTGTCTGGCAGCGAAACAGTTCATTCAGCCTCATTTACTGCCTTTAAAAAAACATAGCTGATATGGCTGACTTGCTTAAACAAATGTGGTTTCTACTGACAATTGAGATGTACAAACTATGGCATAAGGGGACGACGAGCGGATAAGAGGCAATCCGTAATTTCGATTAAGACATTAATGAGCGAGCTAGTACGGACGTAGTTAATATAACTATTTGTTCAGCACTCTTGAAATGTACAGCGACATTATTCAGAACATGGGCCGTTCTTACAGTATTCTCCCTGTACACCAAGTCAGAACCATAGGATAAATAAAGGGGGCATATAAGTTGACAATGAAAGCTCTTACAATATTCGATAATAACATGTCTCTGAAACAGGCTATAGGTTAAATGTGCACCACCAAGTCAGAACAGTAGGCTAAGTTAAAAGGGACCAAATTATTAGGGTGAGGCACATGGGCTACTAACAGATTACTACACAACATACACTTAGTATCACTTTCTTAGCTACAGTTGACATATCTTCCTGGCATATTACATAATTTATGCAGCAGCATACAATACATTTTTGGACTCACCTTGTTGTGCTGTGCTCACTTGAACAGGAAGGTGGCGCGGCGGTCCTTCGTGGGGAAATTTTGTCATCAAACTTTGTCATCAAAGTCTGGGATTCTCTGGATTTATGGTGCTTTCAAGACAACTGGGAACTCTGAATAAAATAAGGTTGAATCATGACGTCAGTGATCTTCAGGTCGGAGCTCTAGAAAGAGGCCAGAGTTCCCGACTTGGAATTCCGACTTGGATGACTGTTCAAAATTCAGAGTGCAAACTGATATGTGACACGTATTAATGCCAAAATAAAATGCAAAACTATATATATTATTTTTGCTAAACAGGTGGGACTCAAAAACAGGTGGGGTCGCCACTGTACCTGACATTACATCACATGTTATAAACAGCCATCAATCCCAGACAACCCCTGCAAACCTCATTAACCCTAACATAGAGTCGAATTAACATAACTAAAGCCCACAGTCACAGGAGCACACACCCCAACCTAAATACCAACCCTACAAATCATTCTCCCACAAGCCAATGGTTTGTTTATATCCAAGGGTAAAATTCCACTTTTTTATAACCACATGCCACCCCCCCCCCCCCCCCCCCCCATTATCATTAACACCGATTGACAGATTGGCCCTATACTAACTACTTCTGTCTGTTTCCTTACTGCCATCAGTGCCATTTGAGTGAAATGTCATTGCAATCTGCCAGTCCAGTATTGCAGCAGACAGAGTTGTGATGAGAGGGACACTGATGTGATGAGAGGGACACTGCTGTCCATAATGAGTCACCTGGGGCCTTTTTCCTCTCAGCGGGTGGTTGACGTGTCGTTACAGTTACACTCATACAGAATACTGGTGGTGGGTCAAACTCTGTTTTATGTGGTTAACCATCCAATCAGTCCCACTTGCCATTGTTATACTGACAGTAACGTGCCTGCTATTTTAAAGCCTGTCAAACCAAGCTGTCTGAGGGGGATAATTTATAACTAGCTCTGAAGTCTGGAACCAACAATTAGCTGTCATTACTGGCAGTAAAAAGATGAGAGCCAAGACAACAGTAATCAAGAAATCTAAGGTACCATCGTTTGTATCAAAGTTTTTGCCAAAGTGCCATGAAATAATAATAAACCAAAAATAAATCTGATAGAAGAAAATGTACGCAGTGAAGCAACCTAGAAAAGCTACGGAACGGTTATAGAATGGCCCCCAAGAACAACATGGTTCTGCTGACTTTAATGACACGAGTGTGGGCAGAGAATAGAGAGATAACTGCTGCATATTTCATTGTAAAACAAAAACAAACATCTCTCATAAGAAGATGGAGCTAGGGGTTTGATCTCTCTGCAATGTCCTATTATTTCCTAATGAGCTGCGCATGAAAACACTCGAATCACAATTTCAAAAGCAAACATAAACAAATCGGGGCTATGTGTACTTAGAGTTTGTCGGTTTGTCAAGCGTATAAGCAATCGGAATGGTTTGTGTCTCTGTGTTACTAATGAAATCCATCAATGGTGTAGATGTGCAGGGTGTGACAAATAACTCAGCAACATTATAGAACGAGGGCATACAGGGTGACAGATAGTGGTGTAGTGGACGGTATTTGCAGGTATACGCCGTACACCCACACATTTTTCAGTAGGCATTGCATATACTCACTTCTTAATGCGTATCAGTAGTGTAGTGGAGGTCTTCTGGTTGATGGAAAAGTTGTCCCAAAAACATTCTCAATGAAATGTTAACTAGCTAAAAAGTAGCCTACCTGGCAGAATGATATAATGATTATTTGCATCAATCTGGTGGCCATTTGTTTTGCAAACTCCATCTCATGTGTGCTACCGAAATACCACTAACAACAGTGCTAGGTGCCTGTGCACTTGAATTAAAGGGTAAATACACAAAGAAATAAATATTTTTTTGATTTTTCCCAAACATCAAAAGTAGTCTCCTGATGGTTTAAGAATTGTTATGGATTTAGAAAAAACAATTTTGTTGTCTGTTTCAATAGTAGGCCTACTATTAGCCTACTTGCACAGTACAGCTTGGGTTGGCCTGACATTTTAGGTAATTCAGAGTGTATGCCATTGTCTCTCAGCAAATTTTTCACACAGGGCAGCTTTCCTTCTCTGGGCGGGCCGTATGGCAAATTCTGGGCAAATTAGAGTGTACCAACTTCTCCAGGCACCACTACACCACTGGTGACAGACAGAACCAGGGCCATGCCAGCCATGCCAGCATTTCTGATCTCACGTGGGGCCTTTTGTAATTAATCTGGACAGTGAGAAGCTGGGTGGCATCAGGTCTGACATGTTCCACCCTCCTTCTGCACAGTGCCCTTGAGGTGGCTATTTGCATAATCACCATGGTCATGGCTCATAAGCTGGAAGTGCAGTGTCACTGTTGTGTTTGACAGACAACATGATGGAACTGTGTGGCAGTGGGTCATGTAACTGCCTGGTCATATTGTGTATATGAGACAGCTAAATCAAAACGTGTCAGTGATGGTTGAATGACACAAGCCGTGGTAATTTTTTAAAACTGTCAGATACCTGTAAAATGTCTCTAAAACATGAGATGGGAGGCTATAAGTTGAGGATACAAGGTGGGTACTGGATAGATGTGGGATATTTTAAGGATATTTTATGTCTCCTTGGTTGTAAATTACAATATAATGTTTAATTAAAACTGAAGAACAACATGTCACTCTCCACAGGCATTTATATTGCTCCCTGGTGGTGACTTTACTGCCAGGCACTTCCGAAAAAGGTCAATCCAAATTGATTCAGCTATGATTTTCAGAACAGTGGGCCTCTTGCCTATGTCAGTTGTCACACACACACACACACAGTTGTCCTAGATGGGTTGCTTTCGTGATTAGTGCTTTGACATCTGCAAATTGAATTACAGTCATGTGCACATGGCTAGCTACAGCAGGCCGGCCTGCCTGCGGCCATGGCTTTGTCCTTGATGAGGGGGCTGAAGGTCAGTTAATGAGGACTGCAGTGCTCTTTGAAACTGCCCTTTTAGACACATATTGATCCACTGTGAAGCTGATAGGACAGTAATTAACTTTCTGTAAAATGTAAAGCCTATAAAAATGTGTTGCACTGCAGCACATCTGATCCTAACACCTAGCTACAGTAGCTTTGAATTTACTGCAGTAACCTGGATGAAAAGAGAAACCATACAGATATAACATGTAAATGTACACATTTATTAGATTATTTTTCCATTTCAAAGTTTCGAAGCTTTGCAGTATGCTGAGTTAGGGTTGAAAATATATGATTTTGGCAAACTCCTAAAACTCAACAACTCTATCATGGCTATGTTATCATGTCAGTAGGCATGGTGAGAGATTTGATTCAATTTCTAGGTAGAGGACGTATTTGAACATATGTTTTACTTTGCCGTCACATCTGGATTTATACAGTAAATATTCAGACTACTTCCTGCACCACTTGTCAAGACTCTTTAAAGAGAGCTTGAGCTCTTGACTGACACTATAAATGTTATTTTGGTTGGCTAGAATGATCTTGAAAAGCTGTGATAAGCGTCCCAACATATCCACTCTCCTGTATGATGTACAATTTGTGTCTCCCCTTAGTGCTTGAGCCATTAGGATAATGGTCAGGTCTGGCACATGGTAGATAGAGTCAAATCCGCCCCAGAGAAATACAACACTGTGCCCTTAATGCGACCCCTCATCCCATGGATTTAAAAAGGACC